TTGACACCCATTGACAACAACGTGGCCCTTGTCCCCGTGTCACCTCCGGGGGTGACCTTGGGGGGGGGGGGAGGGGGGGGGGGATGGGGGGGGGGAGGGGGGGGTTTGTGCTGACACAGCAGAAATGGGGTTGTTTCACACCCCCACCGGTGGCGTCACAATGGGGGGGGGGGGGGGGAAGCGGTGCCGATGGGATGGGGGACCCAGGGTGGACCCATTGGACCCATAACCTATAACCAGTATCCCATTATATCCCATATCCCATACCCCATGCCCCATGCCCCATACCACATATCCCATGCCCCATATCTCATATCCCATGCCCCATATCCCATACCCCCTACCCCATATATCCCATATCCCATACCCCCTACCCCATATATCCCATATCCCATGCCCCATATCCCATGCCCCATATCCCATATCCCATGCCCCATATCCCATATCCCATGCCCCATATCGCATACCCCGTACCCCATATATCCCATATCCCATATCCCATGCCCCATATCCCATGCCCCATATCCCATATCCCATGCCCCATACCCCATATCCCATATATCCCATACCCCATATCCCATATCCCATGCCCCATATCGCATACCCCGTACCCCATATATCCCATGCCCCATATCCCATGCCCCATATTCCATGCCCCATATCCCATATCCCATGCCCCATACCCCATATCCCATATATCCCATATCCCATATCCCATGCCCCATATCGCATACCCCGTATCCCATATATCCCATATCCCATGCCCCATACCACATATCCTATATCCCATAACCCATACCTCATATCCCATATATCCCCTATTCCGTACCCCATATCCAATATATCCCATATATCCCATATTCCATACCCCATATCTCATGTCCCATGCCCTATATCCCATGCCCCATATCGCATATCCCATATTCCATACCCCATATCCCATGCCCTATATCCCATACCCCATATCCCATGCCCCATACCACATAACCTATATCCCATAACCCATATCCCATATCCCATATATCCCCTATTTTCGTACCCCATATCCAATATATCATATATATATCCCATATTCCATACCCCATATCCCATACCCAATGCCCCATATCGCATATTCCCATACCCCCATATATCCCACATACCTCATACCCTATATCCCATTTCCCATATCCTATATCCCATACCCCCCATATATCCCACATATCCCATATACCCCACATCCCATATCCCGTAACCCATACCCCACACCCCACATCCCCTACCCCACACCCCATATCCCACACCCCATATCCCATACCCCACACCCCACACCCCATATCCCACACCCCATACCCCATACTTATATCCCATACCCCATATCCCATACCCCATACCCTCCATCCCATACCCCATACAACATACCCCATACCCCACATCCCGTACCCTGTAATCCATACCCCATACCCCACATCCCATACCCCATACAACATACCCCATACCCCACATCCCATACCCTGTAATCCATACCCCATACCCCACATCCCATACCCCATACAACATACCCCATACCCCACATCCCATACCCCATACAACATACCCCATACCCCACATCCCATACCCCATACAACATACCCCATACCCCACATCCTGTACCCTGTAATCCATACCCCATACCCCACATCCCATACCCCATACCCCCCATACCCTATATCCCACACCCGATATCCCATACCCCACACCCCATATCCCATACCCCATATCCCATACCCCATACCCCATATACCCCCCATATCCCATATCCCACACCCGATATCCCACACCCCATACCCCATATACCCCCCATATCCCATATCCCACACCCGATATCCCACACCCCATACCCCATATACCCCCCATATCCCATATCCCACACCCGATATCCCACACCCCATACCCCATATACCCCCCATATCCCATATCCCACACCCGATATCCCACACCCCATACCCCATATACCCCCCATATCCCATATCCCACACCCGATATCCCACACCCCATACCCCATATACCCCCCATATCCCATATCCCATACCCCATATACCCCCCATACACCATACCCCATATACCCCATACCCCACATACCCCATACCCCACACCCCATACCCCATATACCCCCCATATCCCATACTCCACACCCCATATCCCATATCCCACACCCTATACCCCATATACCCCCCCACACCCCACACCCCATACCCCATATCCCACACCCCATACCCCCCATACCCCACATACCCCATATACCCCCCATACCCCACACCCCATATCCCATATCCCACACCCCACACCCCCCATACCCCACATACCCCATATACCCCCCACACCCCACACCCCCCCCCCAACCCCGCCCCACACTTCCCGTTCCCGTTGCAGGCCACGGGCAGGAGGTGCAGGCCGAGAACGTGACGGTGCTGGAGGGCGGCACGGCGGAGATCACGTGTCACCTGCACCACTACGACGGCTCCATCGTGGTCATCCAGAACCCCGCGCGGCAAACGCTGTTCTTCAATGGCACCCGCGGTGAGGGCCGTGGGGTAACGGGGTAACGGGGCTTATGGGGTAACGGGGGTTATGGGGTGATGGGGGTGATGGGGGTTATGGGGTAACGGGGGTTATGGGGCTATGGGGTAATGGGGGTTATGGGGGCTATGGGGTAATGGGGGTTATGGGGTAATGGGGGTGATGGGGGCTATGGGGTAATGGGGGTGATGGGGTAATGGGGGTAATGGGGGCTATGGGGTAATGGGGGTTATGGGGTAATGGGGGTGATGGGGGTGATGGGGTAATGGGGGTTATGGGGTAATGGGGGTGATGGGGGCTATGGGGTAACGGGGGCTATGGGGTAATGGGGGTAACGGGGGTAGTGAGGGTTATGGGGGCAATGGGGGTAATGGGGGTTATGGGGTAATGGGGGTAATGGGGTAATGGGAGTGATGGGGGTTATGGGGTAATGGGGGTGATGGGGGCTATGGGGTAACGGGGGTGATGGGGGCTATGGGGTAATGGGGGTGATGGGGTAATGGGGGTAATGGGGGTGATGGGGGCTATGGGGTAATGGGGGTTATGGGGGCTATGGGGTAACGGGGGTTATGGGGTAATGGGGGTGATGGGGGCTATGGGGTAATGGTAGTGATGGGGGTGATGGGGTAACGGGGGTGATGGGGGCTATGGGGGTGATGGGGGCTATGGGGTAATGGGGGTGATGGGGCCTATGGGGTAACGAGCATGATGGGGGTTATGGGGTAATGGGGGTGATGGGGGCTATGGGGTAACGGGGGTAACGGGGGCTATGGGGTAACGGGGGTAGTGGGGGTTATGGGGGTAATGGGGGTGATGGGGGCTATGGTGTAATGGGGGTAATGGGGGCAATGGGGGCTATGGGGTAATGGGGATAACAGGGGCAATGGGGATAAGGGGGGCAATGGGGGCTATGGGGGCTATGTGGGCAATGCGGGTAATGGGGATAATGGGGGTAATGGCCAATGGGGCAACAGAGGCTATGGGGGTCATGGGCACCATGGGGATAAGGAGGGTTATGGGGGGAATGGGCGCTATGGGGCAATGGGGGGAATGGGGTCCTTGGGGTGGCCACGGTGTCCAAAGGGTGACCACAGGGCCCTACAATGTCCCTATGGTGGCCACAGGTCCCCATGGCGTGGCTGTAGGACCCCATAAGTTGGCTGTGTCCCCCACAAGGGGTGCCCATGTAACCCCATAGGGTACCCATATAACCCCATAGAGTGCCCATATAACCCCATAGGGTGCCCATATAACCCCATAGGGTGCCCATATAACCCCATAGGGTGCCCATGTAACCCCATAGGGTACCCATATAACCCCATAGGGTGCCCATATAACCCCATAGGGTGCCCATGTAACCCCATAGGGTACCCATATAACCCCATAGGGTGCCCATATAACCCCATAGGGTGCCCATGTAACCCCATAGGGTGCCCATATAACCCCATAGAGTGCCCATATAACCCCATAGGGTGCCCATAGAACCCCATAGGGTGCCCATAGAACCCCATGAGGTGCCTATATAAGCCCTTAGGGTGCCCATAGAACCCCATAGATTGCCCATAGATCCCCATAGGGTGCCCTCATGACTCCATGGGGTGCCCTTATAACCCCATAGATTGCCCACATAACCCCATAGAGTGCCCGTATAACCCCATGGGGTGCCCATGTAACCCCATAGGGTACCCATATAACCCCATAGAGTGCCTGTAGAACCCCATGGGTGCCCATATAACCCCATAGGGTACCCATATAACCCCATAGAGTGCCTGTAGAACCCCATGGGTGCCCATATAACCCCATAGGGTACCCATATAACCCCATAGAGTGCCTGTAGAACCCCATGGGGTGCCCATATGACCCCATAGGGTGACCATACAACCCCATAGAGTACACGTAGAACCCCATAGGGTGCCCACATGACTCCATGGGGTGCCCTTATAACCCCATAGATTGTCCACATAACCCCATAGGGTGACCATAGAACCCTATAGAGTACCTGTAGAACGCCATGGAGTGCCCATAGAACCCCATAGATTGCCCATGGAACCCCATAGGGTGCCCGCATGACTCCATGGATTGCCCACATAACCCCATAGGGTGACTACATAACCCCATAGGTTGACCATATAACCCCATAGAGTACCTGTAGAACCCCATGGGGTGCCCATAGAACCCCATAGGGTACCCATATAACGCCATGGGGTGCCCACAGAACCCCATAGGGTATTCATAGAACCCCATAGGTTGCCCATAGAACCCCATAGGGTGCCCGCATGACTCCATGGATTGCCCACATAACCCCATAGGGTGACTACATAACCCCATAGGTTGACCATATAACCCCATAGAGTACCGTTAAAACCCCATGGGGTGCCCATAGAACCCCATAGGGTACCCATATAACGCCATGGGGTGCCCATAGAACCCCATAGGGTATTCATAGAACCCCATAGGTTGCCCATAGAACCCCATAGGGTGCCCGCATGACTCCATGGGGTGCCCTTATAACCCCATGGATTGCCCACATGACCCCATAGGGCATCCCCATAACCCCATAGGATGCCCACATAACCCCATAGGGTGCCCCTAGAACCCCATGAGGTGCCCCTAGAACCCCGTGGGGTGCCCCTAGAACGCCATGGGTGACCCCCCGGCCCTGTGCCCGCAGCGCTGAAGGACGAGCGGTTCCAGCTGGTGGAGTTCAGCCGACGGCGGCTGCGGCTGCGCCTGGCGCGGGCCCGGTTGGAGGACGAGGGTGGTTACTACTGCCAGCTGTACACCGAGGCCACCCACCACCAGATCGCCACCCTCACCGTGCTGGGTAAGAGCTGGGAGTCAATGGGGCACAATGGGAGTCAATGGGACCCCATGGGAGTCAATGGGAATCAATGGGACTCAATGGGACATCATGGGAGTCAAGGGTACACAATGGGAGTCAATGGGGCACAATGGGAGTCAATGGGAACCCATGGGAGTCAATGGGAATCAATGGGACTCAATGGGACCCCATGGGAGTCAATGGGAATCAATGGGACTCAATGGGACATCATGGGAGTCAAGGGTACACAATGGGAGTCAATGGGGCACAATGGGAGTCAATGGGAACCCATGGGAGTCAATGGGAATCAATGGGACACAATGGGACTCAATGGGACCCCATGGGAGTCAATGGGAATCAATGGGACACAATGGGACTCAATGGGACCCCATGGGAGTCAATGGGAATCAATGGGACTCAATGGGACATCATGGGAGTCAAGGGTACACAATGGGAGTCAATGGGGCACAATGGGAGTCAATGGGAACCCATGGGAGTCAATGGGACTCAATGGGACCCCATGGGAGTCAATGGGAATCAATGGGACTCAATGGGACACCATGGGAGTCAAGGGTACACAATGGGAGTCAATGGGGCACAATGGGAGTCAATGGGAACCCATGAGAGTCAATGGGAATCAATGGGACACAATGGGACTCAATGGGACCCCATGGGAGTCAATGGGAATCAATGGGACTCAATGGGACACCATGGGAGTCAAGGGTACACAATGGGAGTCAATGGGGCACAATGGGAGTCAATGGGAACCCATGAGAGTCAATGGGAATCAATGGGACACAATGGGACTCAATGGGACCCCATGGGACTCAATGGGAATCAATGGGACTCAATGGGACATCATGGGAGTCAAGGGTACACAATGGGAGTCAATGGGGCACAATGGGAGTCAATGGGAACCCATGGGAGTCAATGGGAATCAGTGGGACACAATGGGACTCAATGGGACCCCATGGGAGTCAATGGGAATCAATGGGACTCAATGGGACACCATGGGAGTCAAGGGTATACAATGGGAGTCAATGGGGCACAATGGGAGTCAATGGGAACCCATGGGAGTCAATGGGAATCAATGGGGCACAATGGGACTCAATGGGACCCCATGGAAGTCAATGGGAATCAATGGGACACAATGGGACTCAATGGGACCCCATGGGAGTCAATGGGACTCAATGGGACCCCATGGGAGTTAAGGGTACACAATGGGAGTCAATGGGACACAATGGGAGTCAATGGGAATCAATGGGACCCCATGGGAGTCAAGGGTACACAATGGGAGTCAATGGGAATCAATGGGACCCCATGGGAGTCAAGGGTACACAATGGGAGTCAATGGGAATCAATAGGACACAATGGGAGACCATGGGAGTCAATGGGAATCAATGGGACACCATGGGAGTCAATGGGGATCAATGGGACACAATGGGAGACCATGGGAGTCAGTGGGACTCAATGGGAAGCAATAGGACACAATGGGACACCATGGGAGTCAATGGGACTCAATGGCACACACTAGGCCACAATGGGAGTCAATGGGAATCAATAGGACACAATGGGAGTAAATGAGACTCAATGGCACACACACTGGGCCACAATGGGAGTCAGTGGGACTCAATGGGACACAATGGGAATCAATAGGACACCATGGGAGTCAATGGGAATCTATGGTAAACAATGGGAGACCATGGGAGTCAGTGGGAATCAATGGGGCTCAATGGGAATCAATAGGACACAATGGGACACCATGGGAGTCAATGGGAATCAATAGAACACAATGGGACACCGTGGGAGACATTGGGACTCAATGGAACAACATGGGAGTCAATGGGAATCAATGGGGACTCAACGGGACCCCATGGGAGTCAATGGGACACCATGGGAGTCAATGGGAATCTATGGTACACAATGGGAGACCATGGGAGTCAGTGGAAATCAATGGGACTCAATGGGAATCAATAGGACACAATGGGACACCATGGGAGTCAATGGGAATCAATAGGACACAATGGGACACCGTGGGAGACATTGGGACTCAATGGAACAACATGGGAGTCAATGGGAATCAATGGGGACTCAACGGGACCCCATGGGAGTCAATGGGACACCATGGGAGTCAATGGGAATCTATGGTACACAATGGGAGACCATGGGAGTCAGTGGGAATCAATGGGACTCAATGGGAATCAATAGGACACAATGGGAGACCATGGGAGTCAGTGGGAATCAATGGGACTCAATGGGAATCAATAGGACACAATGGGACACCATGGGAGTCAATGGGAATCAATAGGACACCATGGGAGTCATTGGGACTCAATGGAACAACATGGGAGTCAATGGGAATCAATGGGGACTCAACGGGACCCCATGGGAGTCAATGGGAATCAATGGGACACCATGGGAGTCAATGGGAATCAGTAGGACTCAATTGGACACCATGGGACGCAATAGGACTCAACGGGACCCCATGGGAGTCAACGTAAATCAATGGTACACAATGGGAGTCAATGAGACTCAATGGGCCACAATGGGAGTCAATGGGAATCAATAGGACACAATGGGAGACCAAGGGAGTCAATGGGAATCAATAGGACACAATGGGAGTCAATGGGACACCATGGGAGTCAATGGGAATCAATGGGAATCAATGGGACACCATGGGACACAATAGGGTGCAACAGGACCCCATGGGAGTCAACGTGAATCAATGGTACACAATGGGTGTCAATGAGACTCAATGGGACACCATGGGAGTCAATGGGGATCAATAGGACACCAAGGGAGTCAATGGGAATCAACAGGACACAATGGGTGTCAATGGGAATCAATAGGACACAATGGGACTCAATGGGACACCATGGGAGTCAATGGGAATCAATGGGACTCAATGGGACACCATGGGAGTCAATGGGAATCAATAGGACACAATGGGACTCAATGGGACACATTGGGACACAATAGGATGCAACGGGACCCCGTGGGAGTCAACGTGAATCAATGGTTCACAATGGGTGTCAATGAGACTCAATGGGACACCATGGGAGTCAATGGGAATCAATAGGACACAAGGGGAGACCATGGGAGTCAGTGGGACTCAATGGGGCACAATGGGACTCAACGGGACCCCATGGGAGTCAACGTGAATCAATGGGCCACAGTGGGAGTCAATGGGGATCAATAGGACACAATGGGAGACCATGGGATTCAATGGGAATCAATGGGACACAGTGGGACACCATGGGAGTCAATGGGGATCAATAGGACACAATGGGAGACCATGGGAGTCAGTGGGACTCAATGGGACAACATGGGAATCAGTGGGACTCAATGGGACACAATGGGGATCAATAGGACACCATGGGAGTCAGTGGGAATCAATGGGACACAGTGGGACACCATGGGAGTCAGTGGGACTCAATGGGACAACATGGGAATCAATGGGACACAATGGACACAATGGGACACCATGGGAGTCAATGGGAATCAATGGTACACAATGGGAGACCATGGGAGTCAGTGGGACTCAATGGGATGCGATGGGACACAATGGGCCACCATGTGAGTCAGTGGGACTCAATGGGAATCAATGGGACACCATGGGACTCAATGGGACACCGTGAGAGTCAGTGGGACTCAATGGGAATCAAGGGGACACAATGGGGACATGGGAGTCGATGGGACACCATGGGACTCAATGGGATGCGATGGGACACAATGGGCCACCATGTGAGTCAGTGGGACTCAATGGGAATCAATGGGACACCATGGGACTCAATGGGACACCATTGGACTCAATGGGACACCATGGGACTCAATGGGACACCATGGGACACAATGGGCCACCATGTGAGTCAGTGGGACTCAATGGGAATCAATGGGGCACAATGGGGACATGGGAGTCTATGGGACTCAATGGGACACCATGGGACTCAATGGGATGCGATGGGACACAATGGGCCACCATGTGAGTCAGTGGGACTCAATGGGAATCAATGGGACACCATGGGACTCAATGGGACACCATTGGACTCAATGGGACACCATGGGACTCAATGGGATGTGATGGGACACAATGGGCCACCATGTGAGTCAGTGGGACTCAATGGGAATCAATGGGGCACAATGGGGACATGGGAGTCTATGGGACTCAATGGGACACCATGGGACTCAATGGGATGTGATGGGACACCATGGGACTCAATGGGGACTCAATGGGACACCATGGGACTCAATGGGATGTGATGGGGCACAATGGGACACCGTGAGAGTCAGTGGGACTCAATGGGACACAATGGGGAGATGGGAGTTGATGGGTCTCAAATGGACACAATTGGCCACCATGTGAATCACTGGGACTCAATGGGGCACAATGGGACTCAATGGGGCACAGTGGGACTCAATGGGGAGTCAATGGGACTCAAGGGATTCAATGGGACTCAATGGGGCACAGGACGACTCAATGGGACTCAGTGGGAATCAATGGGACCCAGTCGGACTCAATGGGGGGTTAATGGGACTCAACTGGACACAATGGGACTCAATGGGGCAGAGTAGGACTCAATGGGGCAGAGTAGGACTCAATGGGGCAGAGTAGGACTCAATGGGACAGAAAACAATTCAATGGGACTCAGTGGGACTCAATGGCACCCAGTGGGACTGAATGGGACTCAATGGCACCCAATGGGACTCAATGGCACCCAATGGGACTGAGTGGTACTCAATGGCACCCAATGGGACTCAATGGCACCCAATGGGCCTCAGTGTCCCTCAATGGCACCCAATGGGACTCAGTGTCCCTCAATGGCACTCAATGGGACTCAGTGTCCCTCAATGGCACCCAATGGGACTCAGTGTCCCTCAGTGGCACCCAATGGGACTCGGTGTCCCTCAATGGGACTCAGTGTCCCTCAATGGCACCCAATGGGAGTCGGTGTCCCTCAATGGGACTCGGTGTTCCTCAATGGCACCCATTGGGACTCAGTGTCCCTCAATGGCACTCAATGGGACTCGGTGTCCCTCAGTGGGACTCAGTGTCCCTCAATGGCACCCAATGGGACTCAGTGCCCCTCAATGGCACCCAATGGGACTCGGTGTCCCTCAATGGCACCCAATGGGCCTCGGTGTCCCTCAATGGCACCCAATGGGCCTCAGTGTCCCTCAATGGGACCCATTGGGACTCAGTGTCCCTCAATGGCACCCAATGGGACTCAGTGTCCCTCAATGGCACCCAATGGGACTCAGTGCCCTTCAATGGCACCCAATGGGACTCGGTGTCCCTCAATGGCACCCAATGGGCCTCGGTGTCCCTCAATGGCACCCATTGGGCCTCAGTGTCCCTCAATGGGACCCATTGGGCCTCAGTGTCCCTCAATGGCACCCAATGGGACTCAGTGTCCCTCAATGGCACCCAATGGGACTCAGTGTCCCTCAATGGCACCCAATGGGACTCGGTGCCCCTCAATGGCACTTAATGGGCCTCGGTGTCCCTCAATGGCACCCAATGGGACTCAGTGTCCCTCAATGGCACCCAATGGGCCTCGGTGACCCTCAATGGCACCCAATGGGCCTCGGTGTCCCTCAATGGCACCCAATGGGCCTCAGTGTCCCTCAATGGCACCCATTGGGACTCAGTGTCCCTCAATGGGACCCATTGGGCCTCGGTGTCCCTCAATGGCACCCAATGGGACTCAGTGTCCCTCAATAGGACCCAATGGGCCTCAGTGTCCCTCAATGGCACCCAATGGGCCTCAGTGTCCCTCAATGGGACTCGGTGTTCCTCAATGGCACCCATTGGGACTCAGTGTCCCTCAATGGAACTCAATGGGACTCGGTGTCCCTCAATGGGACTCAGTGTCCCTCAATGGCACCCAATGGGACTCGGTGTCCCTCAATGGGACTCGGTGTTCCTCAATGGCACCCATTGGGACTCAGTGTCCCTCAATGGCACTCAATGGGACTCGGTGTCCCTCAGTGGGACTCAGTGTCCCTCAATGGCACCCAATGGGACTCGGTGCCCCTCAATGGCACTTAATGGGCCTCGGTGTCCCTCAATGGCACCCAATGGGCCTCACTGTCCCTCAATGGCACCCATTGGGACTCAGTGTCCCTCAATGGCACCCAATGGGCCTCGGTGACCCTCAATGGCACCCAATGGGCCTCGGTGTCCCTCAATGGCACCCAATGGGCCTCACTGTCCCTCAATGGCACCCATTGGGACTCAGTGTCCCTCAATGGCACCCAATGGGCCTCAGTGTCCCTCAATGGGACCCATTGGGCCTCGGTGTCCCTCAATGGCACCCAATGGGACTCAGTGTCCCTCAATGGGACCCAATGGGCCTCAGTGTCCCTCAATGGCACCCAATGGGCCTCAGTGTCCCTCAATGGCACCCAATGGGCCTCGGTGTCCCTCAATGGCACCCATTGGGCCTCAGTGTCCCTCAATGGGACCCATTGGGCCTCGGTGTCCCTCAATGGCACCCAATGGGACTCAGTGTCCCTCAATGGCACCCAATGGGCCTCGGTGTCCCTCAATGGCACCCAATGGGCCTCAGTGTCCCTCAATGGGACCCAATGGGCCTCACTGGGCTGCCCCATTGCCGTCGCAGTGCCCCCCGAGGACCCGCTGGTGGAGGCCGGCACGGCGGCGGTGGAGGGAGCGGAGCTGGAGCTGAGCTGCGTGGTGCCAAGGGCCCGGCCCCCGGCAACGCTGCGCTGGTACCGGGACCGGAGGGAGCTGCCGGGTGAGAGCAGTGGCATGGGGCAGTGGGGATGGGGTGTGGGGTGTGGGGTGTGGGATATGGTGTATGGGGTATGGGCTATGGGGTATGGGATATGGGGTGTGGGATATGGGGTATGGGGTGTGGGATATGGGGTGTGGGATATGGGCTATGGGATATGGGCTATGGGATATGGGATGTGGGCTATGGGGTGTGGGATATGGGGTGTGGGCTACGGGATATGGGATATGGGGTATGGGGTGTGGGATATGGGGTGTGGGCTACGGGATATGGGATGTGGGCTATGGGGTATGGGATATGGGGTGTGGGCTACGGGATATGGGATATGGGATATGGGGTATGGGGTGTGGGATATGGGGTGTGGGATATGGGCTATGGGATATGGGCTATGGGATATGGGGTATGGGATATGGGATGTGGGATATGGTGTGTGGGCTATGAGATATGGGATATGGGATATGGGGTATGGGATATGGGATATGGGGTATGGGGTATGGGATATGGGATATTGGATATGGGCTATGGGCTATGGGCTATGGGATATGGGATATGGGGTATGGGATATGGGCTATGGGATATGGGCTATGGGATATGGGCTATGGGATATGGGATATGGGGTATGGGCTATGGGCTATGGGATATGGGATATGGGATATGGGATATGGGCTATGGGATATGGGCTATGGGCTATGGGCTATGGGCTATGGGATATGGGATATGGGCTATGGGCTATGGGATATGGGATATGGGCTATGGGCTATGGGATATGGGCTATGGGATATGGGCTATGGGATATGGGATATGGGATATGGGGTATGGGATATGGGGTATGGGCTATGGGCTATGGGCTATGGGCTATGGGCTATGGGATATGGGGTGTGGGCTCTGGGCTATGGGATATTGGATATGGGCTATGGGCTATGGGCTATGGGCTATGGGCTATGGGATATGGGATATGGGCTATGGGCTATGGGCTATGGGCTATGGGCTATGGGATATGGGCTATGGGGTGTGGGCTCTGGGCTCTGGGCTCTGGGCCATTGTCCCTGTCCTCCCCCCCCATCCCGCCGCAGGCTCCAGCAGCCGGGAGCTGCAGGGCAAGGTTTTCCGGCAGCGGAACGTGCTGCGGCTCCGCGTGGAGCGCCGCGATCACGGAGCCATCGTCACCTGCGAGGCCTCGCACCCGGCCCTGGCGCGGGGGCAGCGCCGCCAGACCCAGTACATGTTGGATGTGCAGTGTGAGGGCTGGCGAGGGGATGGGGTAGGGTGTGGGGTGTGGGGTATGGGGTGTGGGATATAGGATATGGAATATGGGGTGTGGGGTATGGGATATAGGATATGGGATGTGGGGTGTGGGGTGTGGGGTGTGGAATGTGGGGTATAGGATATGGGATGTGGGGTGTGGGGTGTGGGGTGTGGAATGTGGGGTATGGGGTATAGGATATGGGATGTGGGGTGTGGGGTGTGGGGTGTGGAATGTGGGGTATGGGGTATAGGATATGGGATGTGGGGTGTGGGGTGTGGGGTGTGGGGTGTGGGGTATGGGATATAGGATATGGGATGTGGGGTGTGAGATATGGGGTATGGGATATAGGATATGGGATGTGGGGTGTGGGGTGTGGGGTGTGGGGTGTGGGGTGTGGGGTATGGGATATAGGATATGGGATGTGGGGTGTGGGGTGTGGGATATAGGATATGGAATATGGGGTATGGGATATGGGGTGTGGGGTGTGGGGTATGGGATATAGGATATGGGGTATGGGGTGTGGGATATAGGATATGGAATATGGGGTGTGGGGTATGGGGTGTGGGGTATGGGATATAGGATATGGAATATGGGGTATGGGGTGTGGGATATAGGATATGGAATATGGGGTGTGGGGTGTGGGGTGTGGGGTATGGGATATAGGATATGGAATATGGGGTATGGGGTGTGGGATATAGGATATGGAATATGGGGTGTGGGGTATGGGGTGTGGGGTATGGGATATAGGATATGGAATATGGGGTAGGGGGTGTGGGATATAGGATATGGAATATGGGGTGTGGGGTATGGGGTGTGGGGTATGGGATATAGGATATGGAATATGGGGTATGGGGTGTGGGATATAGGATATGGAATATGGGGTGTGGGGTATGGGGTGTGGGGTATGGGATATAGGATATGGAATGTGGGGTATGGGGTATGGGATATAGGATATGGGATATGGGGTATGGGGTGTGGGGTGTGGGGTATGGGATATAGGATATGGAATGTGGGGTATGGGGTATGGGATATAGGATATGGAATATGGGGTATGGGGTGTGGGGTATGGGATATGGGGTATGGGGTGTGGGGTGTGGGGTATGGGATATGGGGTATGAGGTGTGGGGTGTGAGATATGGGGTATGGGATATAGGATATGGAATATGGCGTATGGGGTGTGGGGTGTGGAATGTGGGGTATGGGGTGTGGGGTGTGCGGTGTGGGGTGTGGGGTGTTGGGTATGGGGTGTGGGGTGTGAGATATGGGGTATGGGGTGTGGGGTGTGGGGTGTGGGGTGTGAGATATGGGGTATGGGGTATAGGATATGGAATATGGGGTGTGGGGTGTGGATTGTGGGGTGTTGGGTATGGGATGTGGGGTGTTGGGGTATGGGGTGTGGGGTGTGGAGTGTGGGGTGTGGGATATAGGATATGGAATATGGGGTATGGGGTATGGGGTGTGGGATGCGGGGTGTTGGGGTATGGGGTATGGCATGTGGGGTATGGGGTATGGTGTATGTGATGTAGGGTGTTGGGGTATGGGGTATGGGTATGGGGTGTGGGGTATGGGGTAGGGGGTATGGGATGTGGGGTGTGGGGTATGGGATATGGGGTATGGTGTATGCGATGTAGGGTGTTGGGGTATGAGGTATGGGTACGGGGTGTGGAGTATGGGATGTGGGGTATGGTGTATGGGATGTTGGGTGTTGGGGTATGGGGTGTTGGGTATGCGGTGTGGGGTGTTGGGGTATGGGGTGTGGGGTAGGGGGTATGGGATGTGGGGTGTGGGGTATGGGATATGGGGTATGGGGTGTGGGGTGTGGGTATGGGATTTGGGGTATGGGGTATGGGATGTAGGGTGTTGGGGTATTGGGTGTGGGGTATGGGATGTGGGGTGTGGGGTAGGGGGTATGGGATGTGGGGTGTGGGGTATGGGATATGGGGTATGGGGTGTGGGGTGTGGGTATGGGATTTGGGGTATGGGGTATGGGATGTAGGGTGTTGGGGTATTGGGTGTGGGGTATGGGATGTGGGGTGTGGGGTAGGGGGTATGGGATGTAGGGTGTTGGGGTATGGGGTGTGGGGTATGGGTGCTGTCACCCCCCATTTAGTTACATGTCACCTGCCTGTGGCTATGCCACCCAGTCCTGGAGGCTGCCCTATGTCCCATGAGCTTGGTGCTGCCTCCCCATACCCCGTACCCCACACCCCATATCCCATACCCCATACCCCATATCCCTATATCCCCATACCCCGTATTCCATACCCCATACCACATACCCCCTATCCCATATCCCACACCCCATATCCCTATATCCCCATACCCCGTATCCCATACCCTATACCCCATATCCCTGTATCCCCGTATCTTGTATCCCATATCCCATACCCCATATCCCATACCCCATACCCTGTATCCCTATATCCCCACACCCCATATCCCTATATCCCCATACCCCGTATCCGATACCCCATACCCCGTATCCCATACCCCATATCCCTGTATCCCCATATCCTGTATCCCATATCCCATACCCCATATCCTGTACCTCATATCCCATACCCCATACCCCATATCACTATATCCCCATACCCCATATCCCATATCCCACACCCCATATCCCTATATCCCCATACCCCGTATCCCATATCCCTGTATGCCCATATCCTGTATCCCATATCCCATACCCCATACCCCATACCCCATATCCCTCTATCCCCATACCCCATGTCCCATACCCCATGCCCCATATCCCATACCCCATACCCCCTTACCCCATATCCCATACCCCATATCCCATATCCCATATCCCATACCCCATACCCCATATCCCTCTATCCCCATACCCCATGTCCCATACCCCTTGCCCCATATCCCATACCCCATGTCCCATACCCCATATCCCATATCCCATACCCCATACCCCTTTATCCCAATACCCCATGTCCCATACCCCATGCCCCATATCCCATACCCCATGTCCCATACCCCATATCCCATATCCCATACCCCATGCCCCATATCCCCACACCCCATATACCTATATCCCCATACCCCGTATCCCATTCCCCATATTCCATATCCCCATACCCTATAGTCCACATCCCATGTCCCATATCCCATCTCCCCATAGACGCTCCCACTGCCCGCATCCACCCATCCCAGAGTGTCCTGCGGGAGGGTGACACCTTGGTGCTGACCTGTGCTGTCAATGGCAACCCCCGGTGAGTGTCGTCCTATGGGGCCATGGGGTGCCTATGGGGTCTCCATGGGGTGCTAATGGGGTTACTCTGAGGTTACAATGGGGTTACAGCGGGGTGTCAATGGGGTGCCCGTGCTGTCACCATGGGTTGTCAATAGGGTGTCAGTGGGGTGTGATTGTGGTTGCTATAGGGTGATAAGGTTGTTACTATGGGGTGACAAAGGGGTTACTATGGGGTAACAATGGGATAACTATTGGGTTACTATGGGGTGACAATGGGGTTACTATGGGGTAACAATGGGATAACTATTGGGTTACTATGGGGTGACAATGGGGTTACTATGGGGTAACAATGGGATAACTATTGGGTTACTATGGGGTGACAATGGGGTTACTATGGAGTTACAATAGGAGGAGAATGGGGTTACTGTGGGGTGACAAAGGGGTTACTATGGGGTGACAATGGGATAACTATTGGGTTACTATGGGGTGACAAAGGGGTTACTATGGGGTAACAATGGGATAACTATTGGGTTACTATGGGGTGACAATGGGGTTACTATGGTGTTGCTGTGGGGGGGACAGTGGGGTTGCTATGGGGTGACAGTGGGGTTACAATGGGGTTACTATGGGATTAATACGGTGTTACTCTGGGGACACTGGGGTTACTATGGGGTGACAATGAGGTTACTATGGGGTTACCATGTGGTTACTACGGTGGTACAATGGGGTTACTATGGAGTTACTGTGGGGTTACAAGGGGGTCACTATGGGGTTACCATGGGGTCACTCTGGGGTTACCATGGGGTCACCCTGGGGTCACTATGGAGTTACCATGGGGTCACTCTGGGGTTACCATGGGGTCACCCTGGGGTCACTATGGGGTTACCATGGGGTCACTATGGGGGCCACTCTGGGGTCACCCTGGGGTCAGGATGGGGTGACTATGGGGTCACCCTGGGGTCACAATGAGGTCACTCTGGGGTCACCATGGGGTCATTATGGGGTCACTCTGGGGTCACGATGCAGTGACTATAGGGTCACTCTGGGGTCACCATGTGGTCATTATGGGGTCACCATGGGGTCAGTCCAGGGTCACCATGGGGTCACTCTGGGGTCACCATGTGGTCATTATGGGGTCACCATGGGGTCAGTCCAGGGTCACCATGGGGTCACTCTGGGGTTACCATGTGGTCATTATGGGGTCACCATGGGGTCACTCTGGGGTCACCATGTGGTCATTATGGGGTCACCATGGGGTCACTCTGGAGTCATTAGGGGGTCACTCCAGGGTCACCATGGGGTCATTATGGGGTCACCATGTGGTTGCTCTGGGGTCACCATGGGGTCATTATGGGGTCACCATGGGGTCACTCTGGGGTCACCATGAGGTTGCTCTGGGGTCACCATGGGGTCATTATGGGGTCACTCTGGGGTCACCATGCGGTCACTCTGGGGTCACCATGTGGTCATTATGGGGTCACCATGGGGTCGCTCTAGGGTCACCATGGGGTCATTACGGGGTCACCATGGGGTTGCTCTGGGGTCACCATGGGGTCACCATGAGGTCACCATGGGGTTGCTCTGGGGTCACCATGGGGTCATTATGGGGTCGCCATGCGGTCACCATGGGGTCGCTCTGAGGTCACCATGGGGTTGCTCTGGGGTCACCATGTGGTCATTATGGGGTCACCATGGGGTCACTCTGGAGTCATTAGGGGGTCACTCCGGGGTCACCATGGGGTCATTATGGGGTCACCATGTGGTCATTATGGGGTCACCATGGGGTCGCTCTGGGGCCACCATGGGGTCATTATGGGGTCACTCCGGGGTGACCATGTGGTCATTATGGGGTCACCATGGGGTCGCTCTGGGGTCACCATGTGGTCATTGCGGGGTCACCATGGGCTCACCATGGGATCACCATGTGGTCATTGCGGGGTCACCATGGGGTCGCTCTGGGGTCACCATGGGATCACCCTGGGGTCTCTCTGGGCTCACCATGGGCTCACCATGGGGTCACCATGGGGTCTCTCTGGGCTCACCATGGGCTCACCATGGGCTCACCATGGGGTCTCTCTGGGTTCACCGTGGGGTCTCTCTGGGCTCACCATGGGCTCACCATGGGATCACCCTGGGGTCTCTCTGGGCTCACCATGGGGTCACCCTGGGGTCTCTCTGGGCTCACCATGTGGTCACCATGGGGTCACCATGGGGTCTCTCTGGGCTCACCATGGGGTGCCCGTTGCCCCACTGCAGCCCCACGGAGATCGCGTGGAGCCGCGGAACGAGTCGCTGCCGGCGCGGGCGCGCGCCGAGGGCGAGGTCCTGACGCTGCCGGCGCTGGGCCCCCAGGACAACGGCACCTACAGCTGCCACGTGGGCAACCGGCACGGCCGCGCCGCCGACCACTACGTGCTGGTGGTGTACGGTGAGCGCCGCGGGCACCGACATACCGTAGAGACACCATAGAGACACCATAGAGACACCATAGAGATACCATAGAGATACCATAGAGATACCATAGAGATACCGTAGAGACACCATAGAGACACCACAGAGACACCATAGAGACACCATAGAGACACCATAGAGACACCATAGAGATACCATAGAGATGCCATATTGACGCCATAGAGATGCCATAGAGATGCCATAGAGATACCATAGAGACACCATAGAGATACCATAGAGATACCATAGAGATACCATAGAGACACCATAGAGATACCATAGAGACACCATAGAGATACCATAGAGACACCATAGAGATACCATAGAGATGCCATAGAGATACCATAGAGACACCATAGAGATACCATAGAGATGCCATAGAGATACCATAGAGACACCATAGAGATACCATAGAGATACCATAGAGATGCCATAGAGACACAATAGAGATACCATAGAGATACCATAGAGACACCATAGAGACATCATAGAGGTAACATAGAGATGCCATAGAGACACCATAGAGATACCATAGAGACACCATAGAGACATCATAGAGGTAACATAGAGATGCCATAGAGATACCGTAGAGATACCATAGAGATACCATAGAGACACCATAGAGATACCATAGAGACACCATAGAGATACCATAGAGATGCCATAGAGACACCATAGAGATACCATAGAGATGCCATAGAGATACCATAGAGACACCATAGAGATACCATAGAGATGCCATAGAGATACCATAGAGACACCATAGAGATACCATAGAGATACCATAGAGATGCCATAGAGACACCATAGAGATACCATAGAGATACCATAGAGACACCATAGAGACATCATAGAGGTAACATAGAGATGCCATAGAGACACCATAGAGATACCATAGAGACACCATAGAGACATCATAGAGGTAACATAGAGATGCCATAGAGATACCGTAGAGATACCATAGAGATACCATAGAGACACCATAGAGATACCATAGAGACACCATAGAGATACCATAGAGATGCCATAGAGACACCATAGAGATACCATAGGGACGCCATAGAGATACCATAGAGACACCATAGAGATACCATAGAGACACCATAGAGATACCATAGGGACGCCATAGAGACACCATAGAGACACCATAGAGATACCATAGAGACACCATAGAGATACCATAGGGACGCCATAGAGACACCATAGAGATACCATAGAGACACCATAGGGACGCCATAGAGACACCATAGAGACACCATAGAGATGCCATAGAGATACCATAGAGATACCATAGAGATACCATAGAGACACCATAGAGACACCATAGAGATGCCATAGAGATAGCATAGAGATGCCATAGAGATGCCATAGAGACACCATAGAGATACCATAGAGACACCATAGAGATACCATAGAGATACCATAGAGATACCATAGAGAGCCACAGAGACACATAGGGACGCCACAGGGACACATGTGGACACCAGAAGGACGCCATAGGGAGACACAGAGACCCATAGGATCACCATAGGGAGGCACAAGGACATAGAGAGACCCATAGAGACACCATGGGGACCCCATAGAGACACACAGAGACCCCACACGCTGCCCCACAGCCACCTAACAACAGCCCGCGTGCTCCCCACCCACCCCACACTTGCCCCCTGTACCCCACATTCTGCCCCACGTCCCGCCCCAAATCCAACCCCGCAGCCACCCCAACCTCTGCTCCACATCCAGCCCCACGCCCACCCCAACCCCCCCCACCTCTGCCCCACACCCTGCCCCATGGCTGCCCCATTGTGCCGCAGACCCGGGCGCGGTGGTGGCAGCGCCGAGGGCCGTCCCGTTCGCCATCGTTGGGGGGTGCTGGCGCTGCTCGTGTTCCTCCTGCTCTGCCTGCTGGGGGCGCTGCTCTGGGGCTCCGTGCGGCAGAAAGGTGGGGGCAATGGGGGGTAATGGGGGGTAATGGGGCAATGGAGGTCATGGGGGCAATTGGGGATGATGGGGCAATGGAAGCAATGCGGTAATGGGGGGTAATGGGGTAATGGAGGTAATGGGGGCAATGGGGGATGATGGGGCAATGGAAGTAATGGGGTAATGGGGGCAATGGGGGGTAATGGGGGCAGTGGGTCAATGGGGTCAATGCGGTAATGGGGGCAATGGGACAATGGGAGCAATGGGGGGTAATGTATGCAATGGGGGTAATGGGGCAATAGGGGCAATGAGAGCAATGGGGGTAATGGAACAATGGGAGCAATGGGAGCAATGGGGGGAATGGGGTAATGGGAGCAATGGGGGCAATAAGGGGCAATGGGTCAGTGGGGTCAATGCGGTAATGGGGGTAATGGGGGCAATGGGGGTAATGGGACAATGGGGGCAATGGGACAATGGGGGGTAATGGGGTAATGGGGGCAATAGGGGGCAATGGGTCAGTGGGGGCAGTGGGTGTAATGGGGGCAATGGGAGCAATGGGGCAATGGGAGCAATGGGGGGAATGGGGTAATGGGACAATGGGGGCAATGGGAGCAATGGA